CATTATCTGCATTTTTCCTCCACCGTAATTAAGTGTTTTCTTTATTGCTTATGGGAAGGAGGATAGGCTATAAGGATGTTTTGAGCATGATTAAAGTGGGTCGTAATGAAGTGAAGATTCAGTGTGGAGGAAGGATTTTTGTCTGTGAAAAACACTTTAATCCTTTTGATGGTGACAGAATTGCTCTGAGCCTTAGATCTTTGCTAACCTTTCACACAATATAAACTCTTTCTTTGCTCGCCATTTCATTTAAAAAAAAAAACAAGAAGTTTCTGCCTGCTGATATGTTTCTGAACATGTGGGATCTCCATAAGTTTGAGTCAGTTTATGTGCCGCGGCGCAGACCCATGCCTGCCCATTAAAGTAATTTGTGGGTTAGAATGGGACTGTAATGTCAAAAACAAAAGTGCGCAGGAATCGGCGTTGTGCTTAGTCACAGGCAGTTTTTGCTTCACCTCTTTTACTGCAGCACAAAAGATGCTGTCGACAACATCAGCCTAACGACAAAGGGAGGGGTCCGAACAACAAGTCCTCTTCATCTGAGTCAAGCGCAGGACACGGCGCTCTAATTGCAGCCACTGAAAGCAAACTAAGCCTGTGATGAAACAAATGCTTATTTCAGGTTTTACTAAGAATTGTTTATCTTATTTCCACTTTTGCCGAAAATTGCAAGCAAATTCCATGCACCGGCATAATTGCTGCATAAATTTAGGTTAATAATACATAAATTAGCTAACAATGATACTCCTGTTTTTTCTGCAATCCCAGCCTTACCATGTAATAAGCTGTGAGGCCGGCCTGTGGTTTAGGGCGTAGGTTTAAAACAAAATTAAATACCCAAATTGCAAGAGGAGCTTTTCCTTAATTTAGCTGTCCGCTGTGCAGGATGAATGAGATCACGAAGAGTCTAATAACAGTTTGGATTTAATCATTTTAACGTATGAAATATCATCAGCTCGTAAGCGAAGCAAATTAACCGTAAAGAGATGACTCACCGAAGTTGAAGAGACTCATCCGGTATGGGCATTACTTTTTAGAAATAAAGCTGGAGAGTTTTATATTGTGATCATTTCCACCTCATTATCCAATTACACGAGCGTTTTCAAAGTCTGCATATTTTCCTGCAGACATATAGTTTGTTCCCGAAGAAGTTGGTCTAGACATCGTAAATTCCTCTGACATCGTTTGCATCATATCAGGAGATTTTTTAGTCATTTTTTTAAAAAAGCGCTCTGTGAATCTTATGTAAGACTATAGTGCATTTTCAGTTCTCATGCTTCAAACGTCAGATTTCTCTCGGTAACACACCCGCAGGAAGTTTATTGCTTTCACAGCAGCAATGCACGGTCAGATCAGAGTTTAACGGCAGCCTCGGATCGTTTGCACCCTTCGCAGGATGCCGCTTCGCAGCCAGCACACCTCCAGTTTACTTCCCAGCAGATTCACAGAAACATGCCGGGAGTGTTTATTGAAAGAAGTTGCTCAACCTTTCAGAGCGCTCTTTTATTTTTTTAAAGTCAAAGAAACCTTTAAAAACAAAAATCCATATTATCAGATTGGCTGCTAAGAATTTGGCCCCTGTGGTCGCTCGCTAACCACCAGAAAATTGTATTTACTACTACACTTAACACAGCTTTAACCTTGACCAGTGCAGAGCTGCTGCTTTCAGCCAAAAGTCTGCAAGGGCGGAGGCACGTTTAGGATTAGTCGACCGCATAATCAGCACGCCCCTCTGCGTGCTCTACCTGGAAGCCATCTCACTGGCAACCCTCCCGCTCCCCACCCCCTCCCACCAAAAGTGTGCCCCATAACGTCGTGTTGACAGCCGGTGAAAGCAGCGAGACGGACCAAAAAGTAAATAAGTACCTCCAAAAACATTTACAGCCCTAATCAAGTCCAGAGCGCTGCTTCTATCCAATATGCCTTCAGAGTTTTATAAATAGATATTACACTGGGCTAAATTGGAGACAGGATTTCGCCGCTCTGTGGCTGTCATGCGTTTTCTATTATTTGCTTTCACTTTAAAATATTGAAACTCTTAATATCTTGTTACAGATTTCAGCCGGCTCAGCCAGTCTTTTTGTTTTGGCGTCGCTCGGGGGGCCTCGCACTCGGCAGGATTCTGAACGGGCGCCAATCGAGCATGTTAATTTAAGAGAGGAGGAAAAAAACATTCGCCATGTGACTTGTTATTAATAAATTCAGCAGAGCATGTGTTCAGTTAAATTTATAGCCATTTTTTTTTTAGCTACTGTATAAGGCCTTTTTATTTGTCAGTGGTTCTGAGGCAGAAATTCATCGTAAGTTTTATCCTCTGCGAATGATTCATTTTGATGCATATAAAGGGTATTTTTCCCCCTTTCTAACACTTGTAGAGCAAACAAGACCACCTCCCAGAAGCCTCCAAAATACAACTCATTCTCACATACGAGCCTTCACTTCAATTCATGCAGCTCAATAAGCCAAACATATAAAACCATTCCCACCCTAATAAACTGAGGCCTTTTTCTCTGCCACAAAGGGAGCTGGCTCCCAAGAGTGGTAAAAAAAAATCAAATGGGAGTCTTGAATGTAAAACAGCCTGCAGGGAACACAGCGGCCCTTCCAAGTGGAGGGAAATGTGGTGACAGCTACTGAGCCAAGGAAATGACCCAGCACACAGCTGCTGCGAGGCAGGTACCCCACCTGATGCAAACGCTGCCAGCACTAAGGATGGGAAAAGTCAGTAAAGTTTATACAACTCTGCTTCACGGGGGGAAAGTCCGGTGCTTTTTTTTAGGAGCTTTTTTGGGTTTTTTGTTTTTTCAAAAGGTCTCAGAAACGCTGCTTTCTGATTAAATAGTGGTGCTGATGTGTAAGGGTTAGCAGGTGTAGCCTCATTGTGGTTATTATCAGCAAACTGCAGCAGCTCTGCGAGTCTGCATCAGATTACCGTGTCGCAAAGCTCTCCCCGTCGCTGCCTGTTTCTTTCACAACGCGCTATCGGACTATTAGCTTTTTCTCGCGATCTGTACAAAGTTAAAGTCGACGAGAGCAACGGCGTCTGTTCCCTTTGCGCGCGTGTCGTGCGCTCATGTGTGTTTGTGTCTCCATGAACTTTAGCGGAGGACTGAGGTTTCTGAGGTGAGGCGTCCTCTCGCTTCTCACGCGAAGCGCATCTGATGTTGCACATCACATGTGTCGTCTGTCTGCTCTGCGAGATCGGTCGAAATATCTAAAGTTACCGAAATAACACTTATAGACCGAAACCGTCTGCGTATGGTGCTGATATTTTTGTTACGGTCTTTGTTTCTTTTTTAGCTCCGATGAAAATGCAACATGATTTGAAACAACAAGACATGTTAGAGATCAGAATGATCTTGGATGACTGTGTTTTTCTAAATGAATAAGATGCTGCTGTAGTATTTCCTGACATCTGAGGAGATGAATGCAGTGTTTCCATAAGCTTCACGTCACACTGCATTAAAGTCAGAGCTCAGGAAGCCAGACGTTTAACAGTCGTCTTGATTTTCTGTAACCGTTCCTCTTAATTTCAGTTTGATTTGAGTCTAAAAAAGAGAGCATTGGCCAAATTGCTTTGCCTGTGTAATGCAAGTTGTTAAACTAACCGCTGGGGTATTTTGCTTACATGAGGTAGTCCTGGTTGGAAATGCTTTCAGATTGAACCGGGGGGATTTAATGAGTCTTGGCCTTTGTTCTCGTGCAGTTCGGTTTCAGTCTCCTGACAGAGCGAATTGTAAAAGGATATTGCATGTTCGCTAATGATTTCCAATGGTCGATGACCGTTTTAAATGCTCGTCTCTTCTGACCTACTGTCTCCTTCTGCCACCTCGGTGCTCTGCTAGGGTTCAAAGACAAAAAGGTCCCCCGAAAGCGCATCACGTTAGAGGTTAAAAGACAGCAGGCGTGAACCCTGAAGTCGGTGACACGCTGATCTGTAAAACGGTGAGGAGATAAAGGGATGCAGATTATAGAGAAGAAAAGGGGGGCCTGAGCTTGTCATGAGGAAACTATAAATGCCTGAGTGTGTGTAGAAGCAGTGAGAACACTAGAACATCATCTCCTGTCACTGCGGTTCCACCGAGGATATCAGAGGATTGCTCTCATGTGAGACACAGATGTACAGAGTGTGTGAGGCTCTGCAGATTTTAAGATATACTCTGCAAACAATTACCAACTGGTAGTGCTTCTCCTGTGGCTGTCTCTAATTAACACGGCAACAAGGCCTTAATTGGGGGGGCGGGGGTATCTCCTTTTTTCCCCCTATTGCCTTTCAGCGGCTGTCTCGGCGGTTGTTCGAGGAACTGTAAGAAAAACTCGGCCACCGTCGGATTAACAACTCAAGCGTCGACACTGCTTCGTCTCTGTTTTTCACGACTTACGGGAATAAACAGGACGAGGACTGAAATCAGGTAAACGCTCTCGCTCTCCGTCTCGAGAGCTTAACTGCGAATAAAAAGCCCTGATTGGAATTGCCATGGCAACAAATGGCTTCTTCACTGAGGCTCGTCGCCGAGCATAGTGCACTCACCTCACCGCACAGACCAAAAGTACCTCCTGGAAGTAAAGCAGAGAGAGCCTAATATGTTTTTTCTTTTCTCTTTTATTGTATTGCCGTGTTCCAGTAAGGGGCCCGGTCACATGGAGCCTCTGAGCTCGTATTCTCACCGAGAGAGCACCGAGTTTCACTTGATAATGAATGTCTGTGGTGAGAATCCCATTATGGCGCTACTCCATCAAGCCTACAGAAAACACAGGCGCTGAGAGGCCTTTATGGGACATATCAGATGAAAGCTACTGTGCAAATCACACCCTCCTTTATGAACCTATTTCACAGCACACGTGAGAGACGGATAAATGCATTCGAACGCTACAAGAAGCAACTCTCACATTTCACTGTGGTGCTGTCAGTGCTTTTTTTGTCAATCTGACAGCACTGCACGTTGAAAACAATCAGAGGGTGAGCAGAGCAGAGTGGAGAGGGCAGGATCAGCACTTACCTCTTAGTAGACTGCTGCTGTAGTTGGAGAAGGAGTCAAAGATGCTGTTGGATGCCATGACAGAGAAGCCAGAATGGTGTGGAGCCCTCGCTGAAGTCAACCTCCACAGACTTCTGAGAGAGGGGGGCAAGAAACAGGAGGATTGAAACACAAAAATAAAAGTGTAGCATAAAAAGAAGCGAGGGGAGGAAGGAGAGCACAAGAGGACAAAACTCCTGGAGCTCCGAGACTCTTTGCAACCAAGAATCTAGGGTTTGTGACTACCACAGGAATCCCAAGCCACAAGCTTGCAGAGAGAGCAGCAGCATGTGTTAGCAGCAGCACCACAAGACATTTGAGAGAGAGAGAAGTGAAGAGACGAGGGTCAGAGGCAGAAAGAAAGAAGAAACAGAAGAAACAGCAAATGTGGTTGAGAGAGAAACAGTTTAAACAAAGGCAGGCATCAACATTTGGGTCTCCAGGTGCGGAGGTGGACTCACCAGGGCTGGAGATAAGAGGGGGCCCCACCTAACGGTGCCCGGGTGGCGTAAGCTGGCTGACGGGGGCGGGGGAACGCTTTTGTGGTGGTCTGTCAGCGGCCTGAAGGTCTGAGGTTAGCCAGCTAGCTTGTTAGCGTGGTCTGTCTTTCTCTTCCACGATGGTGGCGGCCTGACTGGAGCGTCGGTGCTAGTAAAAGGCTAAAAGCCACAGTCTATCTGCATCCTCCTCGCCATCCTCCACACAGACACACACTCCCCTCCGTGAGTGGTGGAGCCCACGTCACATGTCACGTGAGGTCACCGGGCCTTTCCCTCCCACCCTCCTTCCCCTCCCTCCCGTCTTCTCCTATCGTCTTTGCCTTTTCTCTGGTTTCTCTTTTTCGGGTTGTACTTTCCACGGTTCTTCTTCTCTGACTCGCCGTCTTCATTCTCGCTTTTCATTGGTCGTCCAAGTTTTGGAAATATTCTATTTTCTTTTGAGTTCAAACCAGGCAGCGGCCTGCGCCGCTGTGGCTCACTGAGGTTTGCAGAAAGAGCACTAAAAACCGCTGCAGAGGAGCTGGAGAGACATTCAGATGTATTAAGCCCAAGACAAACACAGGAGAGAGAAAAAGACAGGACTGAATCAGATGAGGAGAAATAGAAAATGAGAGATAGCTGTGGCTTGAGGAGACAGGAAAGTGTTGTCTGTAACTGCCGAACAACACTGAGCATGCTGTGTATGCTGTGTATCTGTGTCCTGTGCTAGTTTTATGTTTGTCTGACTCACGGCACATCTGTGTTTGTAAGAACCGGTGGTTTTGGGCCTGCAAAACCTCCACCCTCACTTACCACTTGATAGTATCATAATCTTAGTCTCATCAGAAGCCGAACGGCTCGACTCTGCCCGGCTTCTCTCCTCTGCCATCAGCCTTTGAAGTTCCCTTTTTTTCTCTCTTTATTTTGCCCTCTTTTACATTCATGTACATTTAATTCTCACACAGCTGAACCTGCATAATGCAAAAATAAAACTTCAAAATCTTCAAATATTAATTATATGCGTCCCATTTTTTTTCTAACCTGAACTTCCTTATGCAATACGAAAGATATTTTTATAAAACTTTAGTATTTGCGGGCAACTGAAGTCTCTTTCCCCTGTGAAAGTGCAAAGCGATTTAACCTGATTGTGGTTTTCACACTTTTTCATTTTCTGGGTTGAATTTAAGAACGGAAAAGTGTTCACTGATGTGGCTGCTCGTACTACCCGAACGGCGTGAGCCCGATATGTGATAGCATGTCACATATTGTGTTATTTTTGGAGATTTTGAACTATTTATTTGGAAGTTTCATCTGTAGTTATGAGCAAAACAGGAAACGGTTCGTATAGTTTCAGACTGCGAGAGAAATTAAGGTGCGGCACGACAGGCGAAAAGATAGTTAACAGATTTTGTTTCTACGGTGGGAAGAAGATATCAGAACAAACCATCAGGTGATATTGATGCAAATTAGAGCATAATTAATGAGATAGAATCAGCACCCAGTAAGTTCTCATGGTGTTCATTTCTATTGAAGATGCATGTGCATATCTCCATATCTAAGCTGTGTTCTCAAAACGACTTTGTTCACATGCACTTGTCTGTGCATCACCTCGACTGTAATGCACCAAACGTTCCATTTCTTTTATTTGGTCTATAGCCTCAAACTTCGTTTTGTTGTTGACAGTGTTTTATTATTTATGAAGGTAAGATAAAATATTTTCGATGTCTTTTTTGTTTTTACACCTTAGACTGCACCAAAAAAAGAAACCGTGCTCTGAAATGAAAGTTTCAGAATGAACTTTGCACTGTTTACATCTCCTGGGGAAACTATGCAAATCGTGCTTACTTAGACAGATAGCTCTTAATGTGCGTATTGGAAATACTCAAACTATTTTTAATATTTCCATGTGAATTTTTTCACCCGTGGCGGCTCTCGTTAGCAGGGTTACTGTGTGCAGCCGTACTGTTAGGCTGAGATCTTGCAGCACAGCATCTGCATGTGTGTGCAAATAACTGGCATTTGCAGACCTCTGGGATGCTCACTTCCTCTCTCCTTTCTCCTGTCTCCCAGTGACACACTGACCATGTCTGGCCGTGGGACAACAGACCCAAACCACCGTCTGGTCACTCATGTGACCCGCTCGCTTTCCCTGGAAACCTGTGTGTGTGTGTGTGTGTGTGCGTGTGTGCGCGCATGTTTCTGTTCCTGCTTCACACCTCGTTGTGTATGGATGTCAGCCCACATCTGCTAATTGCTGGACAAACCTGCTGCATGGACCACAGCATGTGTTTGTATGTGTATATACAGTACCATGTTCTGAACGTGTGTGTGTGTGTGTGTGTGAGAGAGAGAGGGAGAGCTCGCCGCTCGTCCTGGTAGGCCGCACTGCCCTGTAAATGAGCAGTTGCCGTTGAGTTAGGCGGCAGCGCGGGCTAAATGACACGGCGTGTCAGCGAGTGTGGCCGAACGCTGAGGCCACAGCCGTGGCCCCAGGGCTTTTATCAGTCCGTCCATGCGGCCACTATAGGCCTCTGACTTAACCTCACACACAGCGGAGCTTCCTCTTCTAACACCTCTCCTGCCTCCCGACATGGCCTCGGCCCTGGCCTGCCAGCCCAGGGACAGATTACAGCTCTATGTCTGCCTGCTGAACAAGAGGTAGTGTCACACAGGCCCGGAGGGCAAAACCTGCAAGTCCACAGACGGGGTTTACAAACCTTTATGCTGTATTATACTTTTGAGCTTCAGCCCAAGGAGGTTGGACCCCAACCCATCTCCAAACCCTAATCTGAAATGTTGTTTTGTTTCTTTAAAAAGAAGAATAACTTTTGATGAGTGTCAGTTAGAATTTTTACCTCCTTTGGGGTCAAAGGCGGGCGTTTGGTTTGTAGCCCGACTTCTGCGTTGGTCTCGTCCGTGTTTGCTGGAGCGCAGCGTGCTGGTTTCACAGCACGGAGCCTCGTGGTTGTTTCGGTTTATAATCATTTTATGTGGCTGTATTTGTGCAAGCGAGACATGCTGCTGGTAAGAAGTCATGTTTTCTTCTTCAGATTTCATTAAAGTGAGAAATATATTTTTCTGCTATTTGTTTCCAAAACGACAGACTGTTTTAGATTATTGTCAATTTCCTTGTTTTTGTCCGCTTGTGGAAACAAAGACACTGCATCTGGATTTTTACTGAGAACTAAAGAAAAAGCTAAAAAAACAAAAACACACACACACACACATATATGCAAAGAGCCATCCCACAGCATTGTGCAAGAACGGGAACTAGCTCCTGCTGTCCAAACTTGACATTTGAAGAAAGCGCCGGAGTCGAGGCCTCAGTCTACTGTGTGTTTTTTCTTCTTTGTCTAGGTAAACATCTGCTTCATGTTTTGAAATGTATCTCATGGCTTTGCACTGCCCATGACCGTGAGGGGAAAATAGTCTCAAGATCATTGTGGCCGTCTTCCTCTCAATTCTTTTTTTCCCCTGCCCAGGCCTTGTTTATCAAGCCCCTGTATTTAAGCTTAATATAACTCCTGTTTTGCTGAGAAAACTGTGGTGGTTTAATCACTGTCAGTGGTCCTACGCCTCTCGGGTGTGGCTCGCAAGCAAAAAGGACTCAGTGCGGTCGTGCGTCCAGCTGCAAAGGGGCTTATTTTGTGGTCTAAAAATTGCAGGCTTCCCCATATGTTCCCCATAAACGTGGAATGCAGCGTGGGACTTGAGGAGGCTTTTATAATGAAGTGGCCGTCATTGCATCAAACACCATGATCCTGCCTGCGCTCTAGGATAGGCCATGGGAGCCCATTTTTGGGCTGCGTACACGGGTCCAATGTCCCGACTTCTCACTCACACCTCATTGCCCTGATTTTCTTTTAATT